GTGTTACATAGAATCCACGAATCCACCACAAATAAAATAGCAACAAAACTCGTGATTTGTCTGATTTCCATTCTACGAGATTGAGGAAATCAAGCTTCTTTTACCTTATTGAAAGACGATTAGTTATAGTCGAGAACAATATGAAATTACAAACCTCTACTTCTCTTTTGTTAATTTAATCATTGTATGTTTTTTCTTAATATTAATTGAGATCGACTATAGATTGCTTTATGGAACCGTACGACCTAAGGACATTCTCACCACTAAATATATGTCTAAATTGACAATAAAAAGAAAAGATAAACTTTCAAAATCATTAGATTCTCAACTACATTTTGTGATCCAAAACATTGAACTTATGTCACTTTCGGACACGATATCGTCAGAAACAAAATCCAAACCTTTTTTCTGATCTAATCCAGATATCCAATAACCATCGTCTTCTCTGCCTTTATATAAACAAACACTTCCCACCAATTTCATATCCACACAACATTACTCAAAACCCTTAACTATTCTTCTAGTCGAATAACAAGAACAAGAATTTTATTTTTCCTCAGTTCTCAATAAAATCTCTTCGATCTCTTCTTTCACTCGTAAAACACATACAAATATATATTGGTTCACAAATCTATTAAAAAACGACGTGAAGAAGAAAACTAGATAGTTGGATCGTAGCTCTGATACGATATAAAAACATCAATGGATATGATAACGAAGATGGTGATGGAGAGACCAGTGGTGATATACAGCCAAAGCTCATGTTGTATGTCTCACACGATCAAGACTTTGCTATGCGATTTCGGAGCGAATCCAGCCGTTTACGAGCTTGATGCGATGTCTAGAGGAAGGGAGATTGAGCAGGCGTTGTTGCGGCTCGGGTGTAGCCCGGCGGTTCCGGCTGTTTTCATCGTAGGAGAGTTGGTCGGTGGAGCCAACGAGGTCATGAGTCTACACCTTAATGGATCCTTGATCCCTATGCTTAAGCGAGCTGGTGCATTGTGGGTTTGACTTAATATATTTAACTAGTTACTGAACACTAAGTTAAGTCGTATGCAGAATAAATATTTTCACAAATCTATGATCTTTGACATGGTGATATGTGTCCACGTCGGATCAATAATCTTGGTGTGTTTTTTTTTCCTCTTTTCTTGTTGAGTTTATCTTTATTACAAATGTACGTGTAATATGAACTATTTTAACTTTTCATAAAATAAATATACAACTTGTATAAATTTATTTAATGATAAAAACCCAGTTACTTATTATCTGTGTAATATGATTTATTTTTTTTAATTCTCTCCTTAATTAACTAGTTATTTAAAAGTTAAGAACATCTCCAATGGCAAAATACTCATTGGG